TTTTTTTTTTTTTGTACGCACTTGTAATTTCTCGGAGATCAATGGACATGCTTTATTTTATTCAGTGTATTGTGCTCAATATAGATAAAACATATATATCACCAAGATGTGTTATTTCCCTTTTTTTTTTTTTTTCACTTTTGCAAGTGGTGCCATGCACCTTCCTTCCCTTATTTTCTTCTTTGCAATAATTCTGTTGCCCTCGTTTTTTTTTTTTTTTTTTTTTTGGTGATTTTGATGATGATTTTGCCGTACACAGTTTATGCTCTTTGCGAGCCAGAAGCGTTTGGTTGTCACCTTTTAGGCTCGTGCGAACGAGGAGTTTTGGTTGTTGTTGTGGATTTGTCAAGCGATCTGGGAGAGGCGTTCCTCACAATCTTCATAAGAAGGAGCCTTGACCGAGTAATTGAAGAAGTCTTCTGAGAAGAGGTCGCACATTGTGATGGGGATGGACGATCTTTGTGTCGAAATTTCATTATCTCCAACACTTTCACATTGTTCTGGAGGTTGACAAGAGCTGTTTTGCCCCCTTTTCGACTGATAAACTTGTGGACAAAATGGTTGCTGCTTGTCCAATTTCTTCGAAGCGATCTTCGAAAGGCATTCCTCACAATCTTTATAGCAAGGAGCCTTGATCGAGAAATTGAATAAGTCTTCGAGGAAGAAAAGATCCCGCATGAACGATCTTTGTGTTGAAATTTTCTTATCTTCAACATTTTTACATTGCTTTGGAGGTTGGCGAAAGCTGCTTTCCCTCCTTTCTGATTGGTGCACTTGTGGAAAAGACATATATTTCTCGTGCAGTTTCTTCGAAATGACATGAGTCCATCCTTCAATTTCACTTGACTTGGAGCATACCCCCAACAGTCGAGGTGAAGACTTTGAGTCGAAAGAGCCAGAAGTGACATCTTTCTTAGGGATTTCATCTTCAATGTCGTCCTCTTGGGTTTGTTGGCATGAAGATTTGTCAGTGTGGACGATGATGCGCCTCCTTACCTTCAGTGGTCCTTTTGTGTCGACCTCTAGGATTGCTTGGCGCTTCATCCTTGAAGGAATCAAGCTTCGAACGTCGCCTTTTTCTGCTAACCCATCGAACTTTTCTTCCTTTGGTGTTGTCTTCCTCTTTCTAAAAGGCTTCTCATTATCTTCAAATCTTTCCGAAACTGATCGTCACAGAGGAGAGATAGCTGTGTTGCTTTGTTTCCTAGGCTTTAACAACCTTTCAAAAACAGAGCTTTGGGATGTTAGCGCGTTAAGCCTCTTGAAAACAGAGGTTCGGTCTTGACTACCAATGTGATTAAGCACTGAAATTCTGGAGCTTGAATGGCTCATCCTATCGAAGACCGACGTCCGAGGGGCGGGTTTAGGCTCTTTTTGGTCTTGTTCAATGCTCACGCTGATGTGTTGAGCGCTAGCTTTCTTCACTTTGCTTGAAATCTTCACGGGTGCATTTGGTGTGAAGCCAAGTCCGGCTTTGTTGTTGTCAACTCCGTAACCATGCTCCTTCAACTTCTTTTGAGTTTTGGTGAGGTTACGTTCTTTGTCATTGACAGTGTTTGAAACCTTCTTTCCAACCGCCTCAGAAGAAGCGAAGTCGTACCCGGCCTTTGACATGAGTTTGTAGGCGTTTGGGTTGAAGCCTTCTTCAGTTTTCTTAGTTGGAAGAGAGCTTGGTTTCACTTTGACGCCATGTTGCGCCTCCAGACGGTTGATGAGTCCGGTGGTTTGCAAGTTTTTCTCCTCCACAGTCTTTATCAGCCTTGTAATTGTTTCCTTCATCTGAACCAGCTGTTTTTCAATGGAGGTAGCGCAGATGGTCATGACTTGTTCTTTGTTTGAAACCATGGAGTGTGCGTGAATATCTTGAACAGAGACAGAGATGAGAGGTAGAGATGTCCCACCGGGCGTGCCAAATTTGTGAACACCAAAAAAATTCCTGAAAACAAGAAATAAGAATACGTGTACAAAATAATATTTTTGTGTTTAATGATTTTGGGGTTACGATCTCTCAAATTTGGTCCTCTGATTCGATCTCCGTAAGATGTAGATTTGTTGATCCAAGGACCGTCGAGGCTTGATCTTGGATGAACAGTTGTAAGTTTCTTCAAGGGCCTTTGTGGCTTTGATCTTGTAGGTTGATGGAAGTTTCTTCAAGGGCCTTTAGGGCTTGATCTTGAATGTTGATGGATGAGCGGATCTTCAAGGGCTTTTGGGCTTGATCTTGAAGAACGGTTGGTTTTCTTCAAGGGTCGTCGATGCTTGATCTTGAATGAACAGTTGGTTTTCTTCAAGGGCTTTTGGGCTTGATCTTGAAGAATAGATGTGTGGATTTGTTTGTTGATCCAAGGGGCCGTCGGGGCTTGATCTAAGGATGAACAGTTGATGAATGGATCTTCAAGGGGCGTTGGGGCTTGATCTTGAATAATGGTTGTGTGGATTTCTTCAAGGGCTTTTGGGCTTGATCTTGAAGGTTGATAGATGAGCGGATCTTTAAGGGCTTTTGGGCTTAATCTTGAAGAATGATTGGATGTGTGGATTTGTTTGTGCTGTTGATCCAAAGGGCCGTTGGGGCTTGATCTTAGGATGAACGATGAACACTTTCTTCAAGGGCCGTCGGGGCTTGATCTTGAAAGAGGATTTGACGAAGAACGAAGAGTGCTTTCCTGATCCTTCGGGATTTTCTTGAGAGCTTTAGAACTTTAAGGCTTCAAGGTTTTGGTGTGTGGGTTTGTTGAAGTTGTTGATCCAAAGGGCCGTTGGGGCTTGATCTTAGGATGAACGGATGATGAATGATGAACACTTTCTTCAAGGGCCGTCGGGGCTTGATCTTGAATAAGGGTTGTGTGGATTTCTTCAAGGGCTTTTGGGCTTGATCTTGAAGGTTGATGGATGAGCGGATCTTCAAGGGCTTTTGGGCTTAATCTTGAAGAACGATTGGATGTGTGGATTTGTTTGTGCTGTTGATCCAAAGGGCCGTTGGGGCTTGATCTTAGGATGAACGATGAACACTTTCTTCAAGGGTCGTCGGGGCTTAGTTGGTGGAAGTTCTTCAAGGGCCGTCGGGGCTTGATCTTGAAAGAGGATTTGACGAAGAACGAAGAGTGCTTTCTCCATTCTTCGGGATTCTTGGGAATTTGGGGGTTGGATGCTTGAGAGCTTTAGGGTTGGTTTGGTATTGCTGTGCTTTGAAAAAAAGCTGTTTCTGTTGTGCTGTGAAAAAAAGCTGCTGTGAAAAAAAGCCAGCAGAGTGTTTGGTAAACTTTTTTGTGAAAGTGCTTTTGGAAAAAAAAGCAGTATGATAGTGTTTGGTAAACTTTTATGTAAAACAGCTGTGACTGTGTAAAATGACCAAAAAGGTTATAATACTAGATGGGCCATTAATTTAATTTTCTTAACCAATAAAAGTGAATTACTAAATATACTTTATTTATAAAAGAAACATATTTATAAACTTTATCTTAAATATTAATTAGTATGACAAACTACTTCAATTGAAATATTTTAAACTGAATAGTTAGAATTCATTAGTACAATATTGTTAATGTACTTAAAAGTAATCTAATTAGATGCATTCATCAAACTTGCCGCTATTCTATTTCTTAATGCTTCTATCTCATGTGATCCTTCAACTTCATAATTTTGGTATTCTTCATCATCATCATCACTACTATTGCTCTCTTCACAATAGTCCCTAGGGTCATCAAAATGACGATAACGTTCAGAATACCTCCGTATGTAGTTATGAAGAGCCATTGTAGCAATGACAAACTTCACTTGCTTATTGAACGGGTAATTAGGCATATCCCTTAAAATTGCCCATCTTTTCTTCCATACGCCAAAAGTTCGTTCAATGATGCTCCTAAGAGAAGAATGCATGTGGTTGAATACCTCTTTATGACCCGTTGGTTCAGCACCCCTACGAAAGTCCGGGAGATGATATCTTTCACCTTTATATGGTCCCAAATAACCTCTCATTTGTGGGTACCCCGCATCCACCAAGTAATATTTTCCTGACAATTGAAAATTTTGTTTTGTATTGTAATAATTATACAAAGCAAATATGTAAAATGTTATAATAATACAAAGCAAGTATGAAGATTACCATTTGGAGGCTTAGAAAAGTTTAAATTTGGATTCCGTAGCACGGATAGAAAAACCCTTGTATCATGTGCAGTGTCTTCCCATCCGGCACAAGCAAATGTGAATTGCATGTCAAAATTACATGCAGCCATAACCTTTTGAGTCGGTATTCCTTTCCTACCAATGTATGGAACTTGATCCGGAGGTGGTATTGAAGCCTCAACATGTACTCCATCTATAGCACAAATACAATCCTAAAAATAATAACATAGAAGAAAACCGTCAACCTACACTTCTAGTTTGCAAATAAGTTAGAAGACGAGTCAAATTTTACCTTAAAATAAGGCATGTATCTTGTATCTCTCCTTATTTCTTGGGGAATGCCACGAAACTCCGAATCCATTGATTTGATAATATCTATTGCCATCTTACATACGATATCCAACATAGCACCAAAATATCTACTAATAGTCTCACCAGAATGTTGAAATCTCTCTTGCGCTAATCTATTTTTCACACCATGTCCCAACATATGCAAGAACATTCCTAATATTTCAATTGCACTCATTCTCCTTGAACCTTTCAATCCATAATTAGTTTGCAAGTCATTGGATAATCTATAAAAGACATCTTTGTTCATCCTAAACATTCTATAGCATCGCACATGATGTCCTTGTAGTACTTCCATCAACCAAATATTACCTGTTTGGGAAGAATTCATACACGGAGTTTTGTGGACATATTTTAAATAATATGTTTCAACAGCTTTCGCTACAGCACATATAATTAGATCATCCTCCAAATCCTCAACATCATCATCATCATAGGTGTTCATATTGAATATACACCTGTAACATAACACATAATTCAACATTCCACAAGTCATAATCCAACGATCACTAAGAAATCATAATCCGACATTCATGAATAATCCAACGTTTAATAAGAAATCATAATCCAACATGCAATAAACACAAAGTACAAGCAACATTCAATAAACACAAACCACACAGTCCTAATTCATAGTTTTAGCTCCTTATTGTTCTTTGTTGAACATATATTTCAACCAAGTTAGCTGCACTTCAGGATCTTTCATAGTGGCAAACATCTCTCGCTTCTCTGCACTACAAAATAAACATGTAGCAAACAACCATAGCTCGCTAGGTGGCTCACAACCAGGCAATTTTGCAACTGACGCTATCACTTCCACAATACTACTGTCTAAATTTAGCGGCCTCATCAATGAGTTTGCAGAACTCCTAGTTTCATAAACTTCAACAAGACGGTCAATTTGACTACAAAGTTTTGCAGCGCCTCCAATTTTTTTTCCTTTCTTATCAACCTTCTTTTGCAATTCTCCTTGGTTAGTCGCTCTTTTTTTTCCCTTCCTAGTAGCTTGCCTTAGATCCTGCATAGTCTCACTTTCTTCCTCATCATCTAAATCAATCTGTCCTATGGATTCCTCTCTTGTCTCTGGTGGTAGTACTCCAGATGAAGGTGCCCAGGCATGTTCACCGGTAGCAACTGTGTTCGAAAACATCCTATCTAACTTTTCCTCCATCTCAGGACTAATGCCTTTTTTTCGCAATTTTCCATATTCTTTGTTTATCTACAAGTAAAGAAAGAATATAGTTAATACATATTGCATGATATCATAATACATATTAAAAGATAAAAACACAAATCTGAATTTTATTATTCCACCACTCCTCTGAGGCATCAACGGTACCCTTGTTCGAATTCCACCCTAGGCCAGTTTCTTTACCAACTAGCTCTTTCCACAACTTCCACTCATTTTTAAGTGCATCCCACTTATTTTTCAGTTGCTTTCTTTTATAATCATGCCCTGTCTCTGCCTTGAAGTTAGCTCTAATATTTGCATATCCTTCTTTGTCAAAGTGAGTGCCTGGACGATGTCCGGCCTCAACCTCCTTGATGCATAGATCACAAAATATAGATATATTGTGGGCATTCCATGTAGCAGTAGGATTTAACGAAGATGCTCCCTTATTTGCCATCTATACCAGCTAGTGATTTGTATATACATATATATATATATATATATATATATATATATATATATATTAAAACAAGAACAAATAATATTGTAATATAACTTCATAGCTATTAACCAAGAACAAATAATATTGCCATCTTTATAGCTAATGCATAGTGGAACCTCCTCAGTCTTATTATAGGGTTGGACATTAATGTTTAGGGTCTTGTATTTATGTGGTAGTCTTGTTTCTACAATTTTCAGATCCCGGTGCAAGTGCTGATCTAGCTGTGGTTTTAATGCAAGAAGGGTTTGTAATTATTGGTGGGTATTTGAAGAAAGAGCACAAGGGTTTGTAATTATTGGTGTGGATTGGGTCCTCCAGGTGTTTGATAAAAAGCGCAAGAGGGTTTTTGGGCTCTTTGGAGTGGGAGAATGAGGCAGAAGAAGAAGAAGCGTGGAGGAGGGAGTGGGAAGAAGAAGAAGGCCTTGAAAGATCATGGGGCTTATGTTGGCGATGATGATAATGAACTTCTTTCTGAAGAGATCACTGCCTTGTAAGTGACTCTTCTTCTTATTCTTAAATCCTTTTATTCTTCGAATGATCGACTCAAAAACTGCATATGGAGGGACAAACACTGTGATCACCATGAATAACTTGGGATGACAAATTGAACAGTCAGACGCAACTGGGTTGTATTTTATGGCAACTTTTGACATGCACCATTACTAGAATTAATCACAGCTTCAAATGAATTGATTGGAAATGTTTTCCAAATGATAATGGAAATCTGCAGGACAAATCTGCAGGACAATACTTGAGTGTTCAAGGTTGGGTTATTTGAGGAACAAATCTGCAGGACAATACTTGGATGGTTGTAAATTAATGTCGCTACTTTTTTTATTATTATGTAAATTGTGCACTATTATGTTTATAAAAAATGTTGATGCCTCTGTTTGAAAGATTCATGATAATCATCTTTCTGTCTCATAATTTGTATTGCTATTCGTGTGGGATGTTTAGGTGTGCAATATTTCAAGACGATTTCAAAGTTATGTCCGGATCACATCCTCAAATCATTATTAAGATTAGGTATGTCTTATATATTTTTAGATGAAACAATTCATGAGTTAGACTCCTCTTGATTGAGATTTTGTTCTCTACTGCAACAGGCCTCATTCTAAGGATATGGGTTATGAGGATCTAGATGTTTCTGCACTTCTTTCAGTTAGGTTAGTGAATTTCTTTTCTATATTGCGTTTATTTTTGGTTTATAAATATTCATTCCCATGTATCTTAATGTTCTCTTGTTTGATAGGTGCTTACCAGGGTATCCTTACAAGTGCCCAAAGTTGCAGATAACTCCAGAGAAAGGTTTATCAAAAACTGATACTGATAGGCTGCTATCTCTTATTCATGATCAGGTATTATTGTTTTTTTTCCTCAAACCTTATTTGATAGTTCTTTGAGTTCTTCTGTGATGGAGTGTTAATGCGGTTACAAGCGCAACATTTATTTGTCTTAATCCTAAAAATATTGTATGCCTTAAAGATTAGCAGCTATTTGCCCATTGGCAAAGTTAGTTTTGATATACTGAAGGCTATGTATGAGGAAATGTTTTCAAAATTTTCCCTGAAACAAACAGAAACAGTGCTCTTCCACCCAAGCTTCATTTTAAGAGATATTTCACACAAAGATTTTACACTTGCATGGAAAATGTCATTGGTCAGTCTGACACATAATAAACTAGTGTGCAGCTAGTGCCTCTTTGTGTGGTTCTGTTCTATTCTGAATTTAATTGTTCTGTTTCAGGCAAATTCTAATGCTCGAGAAGGACGGGTAATGATTTTCAATTTGGTAGAGACTGCCCAGGAATTCCTATCTGAAATTGTGCCAGTGGGCCAATCACATGGACCTGTAAGACTTCTCTATCATCATATTTGTGCATTTGTTTGTGTGAGAAAATGCATATACAAATATCATACATAAATTGAATATTTTGGCAGACATCTTTCATGTAGATTTTCTCTCCTTGTTCTGTTTCTGTTATTACACTTTAATTTTGTTCATTCAAATGGGGACTAATAATGAGGCAAAGCAGATTGTGCAAGCTCGTTATTACTGAAACCTAAGTGTATAAATGCAACAAATTTATTGAGCATTGACATCTAAACTTTGTAGTGGTATCTCTAAAAGGTGTATTGAAATCGAAGGTGTATATATTAACTTTCTTCCCCACAACCATTACAAAACAAAGCAAACTATATTAACTTTCTTATGCATGCTTGTTCAGCTCTGTACAAGACTTGTGGAATCAGCTCTATTTTACGGGATAACAAACAAGCCAATTAAACGATTAAGTTTGGGTTCCCCGAAACAAACAAAGTTAAAACTCCAACAAACAAAGCAACACCATCATCAACCTAAAAAATTCTACAAATTTCACATAGAGCTGCATGCATGCCTAGGGGGTTACGGTTAACAGGATCCACATATATTAATTATCTGGGTTTCCAATATGCATGGCATGTATTTTCTTCAAGTGAACGCCTCAACATATTCTTCTCCACCGACCGATCGCACGTTTTAATTAGAAAAATCAATATATATGTGTGCTGTGTTTCCCCAAAACTGAAATTTAGAGAATTAATTCAAACCCCAAAATTGAAAATTAGAACATAACCCCAAAACTGAAAATTAGAACATTAATTCAAACACCAAACCCTATTTCAGAACGAGTTATGTTTACCTAATCAATGAGATCGAGCTCGTTTGTTGGTTGCCACACAAAACCCTGTTTCAGAAAACCCCAAAACATGGGTTCATCATCAGAGAGCAGCCAAACCCTAATATAAAAATTAAATTAATTAATTATAGCAAAAATTGAAAGCAAGTCGAGTAGTTGGTACCTGGAAGGCGACGGCGGTGTGGCGTTGAGAGTGACGGAGAGAAACGAAAAAGAGGAGGAGGAAGAGGTGCAGCGGCGGGAGGGAAGAGGGGTGTAGAAGTTTTTTGCGATAGAGAAAGAGAGAGTGCAGAGTGTAGGATCGGGAGAAGGAGAAAGGAGAAAGGAGGGGGCAGTTTTGGTAAATGGAAAAAATTCATTAATTGGTATTGTAGCTCCGCGTTTTGGAAAAAATAAGCGGCTTCTTGGAAGCTGCAAAATGCAGCTTCCACTTTTTGGCTTTTTTTCATGTGAAACTTTGAAATTAAGCTGTTTTGGGATGTTTACCAAACACCAAAATCCTTACCAGCTTTTTTTCATGGTAGCTTTTTTAAAAATCACCTCAACCCCAAACTGGGGCTTAGAGTTTCAAAGCTTCAAGGATTTTGGATGTGTGGGGAGTATTCTCTTCCATTTTGGGAGTAGAGAAATGTATTTGTGAATTGGTGTTTGTGTGTCTATTCCTCTTGATGGAGAAGCCTATTTATAGGCTTTGAGAGTGAATCACCACCATTCATTTTTTTGGTGAAGTGATTGGAGGTTGTAGGTGAAGTGAGTGGAAGTTGTAGGTGAAGTAAGTGGATGATGTAGGTGAAATGAGTGGAGGTTGTAGGTAAGGTAAATGGATGATGTAGGTGAAATGAGTGGAGGTTGTTGGTGAAGTGAAGGAATGATATAGGTGAAATAAGTGTTGTATTGGTTAACATTTATTTCACTGAAATTTCGATATCTACAATAATTAAAAGGGAAGAAACATTATAAGCGTGCAAACCAGAAAGAAGTAAAACTCCATTAATTTGTAGCCTCCACCTTCCTCTTTGCCAATGAGGTGTGCAACTTCCTTGCCTTGGATTGATACGAAATTATGATGCCTTCTACAACGAATCAAGCTATTAGTCTTTTAAGTCCTTATTAGGTCCTATATTACTGTTCATATCTGTAAATTTAGTTTTGCAAAATCTTGGTAGTTGTGTAAGTTCAGTTTTCGAATCAAACAAACTATCTTAATCCTTGTTTACGCTAGGTATTACCTATGCCTGGTATCTTTTTTCTTTTAATAAAAATTATGTTGTTTTGTTATTATTAGGTTTTATTTTATAAAATGAAAGAAGAGATTTCATCCATGCATTGTAGATCTCATCAGCAAAGAAGAGATACGATAATTTTTTTTTATTAGGGTTCAATGTCTGATTATTTGTTTTCACGACAGCTAGGGTGTGAATCCAAATCTTGATCGAAATGGGAATGGAAGCACTAATTTTCAGTTTTAAATTATCTTCTTTTTTTAATTTTCCAAATTTTATGTTTTTTCAGTTTTATTTTATTAGCTAAAATCCACATAAACATCCATGTCATTTAATGAATAAATAAGAACCCTTGGATGTCATGTAATCTAAAGACTTAAAATTAATGTAAAAGTATATGTAAAAATGTTTGTCCCTTGATCCTATTTCATATAAATAAGGACCCTTATTGTGTATATAAATTTGGGTAAATTATAGAAAACTACCTTAACTATAAATCGAATTACAATTTTAAACCTCATGTTTTAAAAATTACAATGTCATACTGCATCTTACGAATTTGTTGCAATGTCAGACCACCATCAGTTTTTCTATCAATTTCTCTGTTAAATGCTGATGTGATTTGAGGTGAAGCCTACTCCCTAGTCCAACTAGATTAAAAATTTAATTAAATATTAAAAATTAAAAATTAAACCATTTAATTTTTTTAGGGAAAATTTGAAATAAGTCCAACTTTATAGACTACCTTTTAAAATAGGTCTAATTTTTAGTGACTTTTGACTTTTGAAATAGATCTAATTTTTAGTTACTTTGACCTATTTCAAAAAACTCCTTATTTTTATTTAAAAAACGTGGGACCTATCCCCCAAAACCCATCATTCTTTCCCAGTACATCGACGACATCCCATTTCCGGGCACCCAACCTCCACCTCGACCTCCTCTGCCACTCCTTCGACTCCCCCTCCCTCCATTGCTCTCCTCCCCTTCCTTCCACCTCCACATCAACCCTTTCTCTTCTGGAAGAAACATGGCTCCAAGAACTCTCCCCTAGCGAAGATAGTGGGTTTCTGTGGTTTTCTTAGTAGCCAAACAGAATTCGAGGCAAAATTGGAAAATGGGTTTTAATCCAGGAAGGCGACATCAAATTGACCCGATCGACGGCAATGGTAGTGACGACTTGGTGGACAGTGTCGACGTCCTGGTAGAAGCCGGGGATGGAGGCCTTGTCCAATGAAATCTCGAGGTACATGATAGTGAACCTGGACTTGCGGTGCTTGATCCCGACCTTGTTGGGGTTAGCAGCTAAGAAGAGTATGTAAATGCTGAGGGAGGGGGAGGCAGAGGTATGATGACGAGCACGAGGGTGTGCTAGGAATGAGAAGAGTAAGAAGAGGCGGCAATAACAGCCTTGAAGGAAGCGGAAAAAGAGGAGGAGTATGATGACGTCATTGGGTAGTACTGGTGGTGGTTGCTGCTGTTCTGGGGGTTTGAGGAGGAGGACGACGGCGGCAGGACGCAGGCGTACTGGGGAAGCAGGGTGCCCAGAGATGGGGGGAGTCGAAGGACTGGCGGAGGAGGCAGGTGGTGAGGTTGGGTGCCTGAAGATGGGATGTCGTCGGTGTAATGGGGAAGAATGATGGTTTTGTGGGGCTGGGTCTTACCTTTTTTTTAAATAAAAATATTTAAATGATTTAATTTTTAATTAATTTTTTAATCTGGTTGGGTCAGGAAATAGGCCTGTCTCAAGTCATATCAGCATTTAAGAGAAAAATTTACAGAAAAACTGACATAGATCTGATATTGCAATAAATTCGTAAGATGATATATGATATTATAATTTTTTAAACATGAGGTATAAGATTGTAGTTCGATCCATAGTTGGGTAGTTTTGTATAACTTATCCTATAAATTTATATACAATTAATTACATATGTATAATGTACTCGTTGCCTTAAGGTATGGTCTTCTTTTAATAATTTTAATCTAACAAATTTGGATTAATAATTAAAAAAGTTTGACATAATATGTAATTGAAGGAGAAAAGAAGGTCAATTTATATGTAATCTTGTGGCATTATCAATTGGACTAAAAAGAAAAATTAGATTTTGGTTTTAAAAAAAAAATGGTCAATTACCAAAGTGGTATACCATACCATACCAACCAAATCATTTTTCATATTACAATTTGGTATATCGAAAGTTTGGCACGACAATGATAATAGATTTTGAGATACCAAAAGTTTGGTAATGGTAATTGGTACAAATATTTTGATACAGTAATCATATCAAACTCAATCCTAAATTATAGAGGACAAAGAGCCTCACAAACACTCCTATTGAGTGTGATCTCAAGCCCAACCAACAAAACTTGTATCCATCAAAACCAAAAATCATTCGTTGAGCCTAAATGAGCACTACTCGCACCTATACAGAACAACCGTCAAATCCACCACATCTAGCCGTGGAAAAAATTCTGAAGATGGGAGCAGCTAGTGTAAGAGAACTCATTCTCCATCAATCTAACTATGCAGACGTGGAGATGAGCTAGGTGAAATTCATCTTCCATCGATCTAATTGTTGGAATTGTGCCCTAAAAGCCAATCATGAGACGATACTTTACGGACATTTCACATAAGAGTGATTTGCTCTCGAGTCATTGGTGCAAAAGACAACAAGGCATGTAAGTAGGTGCTCAATAGAGAGTAAGTTCACCGAACACAATCAATAAGGAGTTATCATACTCATGTAATATAAGAACTCACTAGTTAGATAAAGTATTTCTTTGACTTGAGACACCACAGTTGTCTTGTGCATATGTCTTTGATCATTTGATGATGCGTCATAACTTCATGATTTGCTTAGCGTATTGTTGGGATCACTGATTTTTCATAGAGGCAATATGAGCGCACAACAAGGAATCTCTAACCTTCAAACTATTGATGGAGAATATTCATGATATGATTCAAGAGTCTCTGGCTAGTAATCATAAAAACTAGAGAATCACATTGGATAGATGACATGGATAAATTATTAACCAAACAATGTGATTAAGAGTATTGATATAGAGAAGGATCGTATTGCATTGTAATTTCAAACTGAATTGGTTCTCCATCTCTTCTGCTTAGCTTGTGTTACATCCCACATCGCCCAGGGGAGTGGATCTTGTAAGCCTTATATGTATATTCCTATCTTTACCTAGCACGAGGCCTTTTGGGAGCTCATTGGCTTTGGGTTTCATCGGAATTCCGAAGTTAAGCGAGTTTGTACGAGAGCAATCCTAGGATGGGTGACCCACTAGGAAGTTCTCGTGTGAGTTCCCAGAAACAAAATCGTGAGAGCGTAGTCGGAGCCCAAAGCGGACAATATCGTACTACGGTGGTGGAGGGGGCCTGAGATGTGGTGGACCTCGGGCTAGGATGTGACAGCTTGGGTAGTCATGACATACTGGTAAGAGTCACTCATGGCTTGTGGAATCCGTAAAGATTAGCAATCACTAATCTTCATTATATGAGAGTTGAAAGATAGTTTCAATTTACAATCAATTAGTAAAAGTTCTAATTGCCATTGTCTTACTAATTGAAACCTAATGGATTGTTTATGTGTAAGGTAGAGAGTGAAAAAATAACGGAGTTGAGTAAGAACAACAAATCATTTAATTTTTTTGTGGCTAGGCTTTAGTAAAAGGTAATTAATCATATGAATAAGTTTGAATTGAGCCTTGAGTGTGTAACTGCCCTTATTTTAGAACATATGCATACACACGCATGCTATATATATGTGTGTACGTGCGTATGTATATGTATGATTACTATTTCTATGTTACGAAAATTTTGTCATATTTTTTCATTAATGTATCCTATGTATTTGTATTTCTCTATTTTGTCATAGTTTTGGAAACAAGTATTTGTGCCTACTAGTATTCTTGTGAGTTAATTTTTTTTATTTAGAGTAAGCTCGTTATTGTCATCTTTGTATTATATATTTATCTAAACAAGTTGCTAGAAAGGGGACCAAGAAGATTGTAAGCACTCTATTATGATAAGGACATGGCAGTGATATTTCTTTTTTTCTTTTTTTTTTTGAGAGAGACGTGGAGCTCTTACCAACTACCATTTGGCTAGCC